TGACCTGGCATAAAGAAGAAGCTTGCAGGCTTCAGCCTCTGATCCTTTGTACTAAAATAATCACCTTGAGTTACAATGGAAAATGTGCTTTAAAAAAAATAATCTCATTCATCATTGCCTTTTTCCTTATATAAGGTTGCCCTGCTAGTGTGTAACACTTTTATTTAGATCTCACTCACTCGTACAAGTCCAGTTGAATCTAGTCTGCAAGGTGGTGGAGGATTATCTGATCCCAAGAAGTAAATGAGAAGTACTAAAAATCCCAATGAAAATGAATAGTCAAGAACTTTTATGCTGATATTATAGGAGCACAAGCTCTCATTCCACTTAATACAGTACCCTCACGGCTGTCACTGAGCTCACTATTATGCAAAGCTGATCCGCTTTGTTAGTAGAGCAGCTAATGTAAATCTGACTTAAGCCAGGAAGTGTAAATTTCGTTCTTTTTTGGCATGGCAGAGATATACCAGTATGAAAGTTCTATTTGTACAAGGTAACAATCAATGGGAGTTAAATTTAATGTAAGCTGGATTTTAAAAAGAGCAAATCTTACATAATTCAGACAATGGAGACAGTGAGATTATGCTAGAAGTGGCAGAGAAGGAGTTTGAACTCCAGGCCTATCTCTGACTCTTCCAAATTTCACTGAATAACTCGAGTGTGCCACCGGTTTTAAAGACCAGAAGAGATAATTTCATTCTCTAAAATCTTCCACTAAAAATTCATGCATCAAGCCTATACCTTTTATTTGAGATACAAACTGTTTACAAAAACATCATCCAGTCTTAAGTTTCAAGTGGTGAGGGGAGCCTATATTATTTATACAAAGGTGTCACAAAGTTACTTATTATCAAAACTGCATATTTTAATTCCAATCTGAATATGTCTTTGTCTAACTTCTGCTGGTTTTCATCATACTTTTTTTTTTTGCTTTATGAAACTATAGAATGTGCAGATTGTAAAATAATTTATCTGTCTTTCAGAAAAGTATTTACATAGCTAATATAGCCTTTCCTCCTTTTCCATTCTCAGATCGTTCCCGGGCTTTTGTAAATCCTTTGCAATTTGTCTTTAGCATTTTGAAGTAGGAATGTCTGATTTGGATTTTTTACTTCAGTGACTCTTTACTGTTTTCAACAAAAACATAATGCCAGTATCCCATAACTGCTTGGTTTTCACTTCTTCTTGCATTCAAATATCAGCTTAGCTGTCTTACATAGAATGTCATGCTGAGAGGTTCAGTGATTACCTACTGCACCTCTTAACATGCTGAATTTTAAGACATGAATGACATGTTATGCTCCTCACATATGTCCTGCCTGTACATCTGTGGGACATCTTCCTTTTTTGCTTTGAAAGTAGAGAGGCATTTTCCCCCCTAACCCTTGCCTTCATATGAATTCTGATAATCTAACAGTCAGGGTAGCAGGGGATCCTCACTGGGAGCAGCAGTGGAATATTTATAGGAAAGTGGATTTTGAAGTTGTTAGTCTTTAAAAGTCACTGAGGGAGGAAATGGTTGGACTTTGATGATCTTAAGACTCTTTTCCAACATAAATGATTCTATAAACAGTTGATCTGACTTAGATCTGTTATTCTCTTGATGCATTTTTCATCTGCGGCTTTGTTGGTGTTCCCATCTGCTGATAACAGTCAACAAACAGAAGTAAGCACTACGCACTTCACAGATATTTTGATTTGCTCTTGCTGAACGTCAGCACTATGGAGCATAGTACACAAGTGTCTAGGCTAGGGCAGAGAAGTATCCAGACAGCAGAGCTGATTCCTGAGCAGGAACATTGGTTTGCGCATGAAAAACAAACAAGCTGAACACGGTGAAGAGCAAACAAGCTGCACTGGTGTTCTGCTTCGTTTTGGTGTATTGGCTCAGTACAGTGCTGTGTTGCCCCACACTGCCTCTAATTCTGGAGCTAATGCTGTTACAGCAAGCTCAGCTGTCTTTGCACAGTGCTATGTGGACTAAATTTGTCTCCTGCAACATCTCGTCAATTAAGTTCCATTTAACCTGCCCTTCAACTTGCCTAAGGCTTATTTTCTGAAGGCACACCTCTAGCCTGCTCAGAGTGCACAATGAGGTTTCTTAATCTGCGCTGTATGTGAGGTCAAAGTTCAAGATCTTGCTTTACTGATCAGTGGAGGAAACTGCCGGAGAGTGAGAGCAAATGAAATGTGAGAACCTGGTGACCCGGTTTATACTTGCTAATAGACATGGAACTGTGCAGCTTTGAAAACGCATGACAAAAGTCATGCAAGCACGCACAAAAAAAAAATCGTTCCCATTTCCAGAAGAGGAAAACATGAATAGCAATAAAGAAGTAAACATCAGTAATGTATGTGTTAAATGTGTAAAATACTTTCATGCAATCAAAGATATAAAAGCTAGGAAGAAATAAGTCACAGTTGTTTGAACAATTCTTTTATGAACCTTTCTCCCAGTAGCATTAGACGGAGTGTTTATGTAGAAATAGGGAAACTGTCCCCAATTTAGTTTCTAATTACGTTTTATAAAGAACCCATTCTTGATGAGAAAGGGAGAAGGGAACATAAGCTTTTTAAAGTTTGGCCAGCCACTTGTTTGCCAGCAATTTTAAAACTATTTTTAATAGAAAGCCAGATGCATTTGAAGAAGCTTGCATAGATTTGACTGTGCAGTCATACGCCATCCCATTTGTGCAGATTTAATAAAAAGTGGTTGAACAATTATAATGATTTTTGGTTTTGCATTGTTCAATATGCAGCTTCCTACCTTGTTTACAACGTGTAATCAAGATTTCTGCTCTGAAGAACGTGACTGTTATTTTCTTAAGAGTTGTTTTGCAGTATTCATCAGTGTTATGTGAATGCTCCAGAAACATTAATTAATTAGTTCACCACAGTCATGTAAGGGAAGGTAGCTACAACATGCACGTTTTTTGTAGGGAAGTTTTTCTTGGAGTTAGCAGTACCAAGTACTTTTTAACTTCAGAGCACGTGCCCAGTGGATTTCAGATGTAGATGTGAATGCTCAACCCTTCAACAGATACCAAAGATAACAAGGTAGGCACCAGAAAAGGAGAGATACGCAGTTAAGAACTGCGTGTGAATCAATTTAGGGCAAGTAAGATCTGCTAGAGATCTGTGGCACTCTAGCGAGTCACCTTTGTTTTTCTCTTCTTCTGCTGTCCTGCCCTGTGCTTTTTCTACCATTCAACTTCTCTGACAAATGACATGTATGTTATACAGAAAAGATCTTCTCTTGTGACATGGTTGTATTTCATGCACCAAAATTATCTTGGGGAATGTGGAAAATATGATATATGTTTATAAAACTGAAAAATTTTATCGTAATGTAGAGCACATTATGTGGTAAAGCGTATTTCCTAATTTTTCTAAAAAGCTCTTTGCCAAGCCTAGAAACTGTCGACATATAGGATCATCAACAACAAAGAAACTGTCTAGTTTGTCTAGAACTTTTCAGATGAGATTTTTCAATACTAATTTTTTGGTCACGTTGGAGTGGCATTTTCAACTAATATAGCGGAAGCCATTTTTCACCAGCAGTGTAGCACCACTGCAAAATGGATATGAGCACTTAAGTTTCTAAGCAAAACCATTATAAGATACCTGTATCTACATCTGAATCTATATAAATACCTAAGTAAAAAAAAAAAAAAAGCAAGCTTAAAACTTATTCCCTAAAATGGCTTACATTTGCTGAAATTTCTTAAAATATGTTCTATACCAGCCTTAAACATGCATTGAGCACAAAAAGTCATGGTCTACATAGCTTTATTTCTGGCTAAGTTCTAAAGTACTGAAAGCAACTAGCTGTGGCAAAGGTCAAACAGTCCTAACTATAGAAAGCGCTATCTGCCTTGCCTATAATAGTGGTTAAATCTATTATGGTCAATGAAGTTACAGAGTCAAATGCAATCAAAATCAGTCTGCGCACATAGCATTAGGTAGTGATAATGACAGCCCATTGACAGTCATTGCCACTCTCCATGTACCTCACACAGTCTATTTGGTGCCTGTCCTGTTGACCTTAGGAGGTCAGCACTTCCATTCCCAGAAGTGAAACATCTTGTAAGACTAAGAGGATTGTAATTGTAATCATTGACACCCCATTAACATTATTCTTTTTTTAAACCATATTGTAGCAATTTTGCAGTGGGCCTCATTAGTGAATGCTTTAGTGAATGCATTAGTGAACTTTTAGGCATGGGCTCAGTAGGTATTGTGTGTTTTTTTCCCATCAGGATAACCTAAGCTCAGTAAAAAAAGGGGTAGCTGCAAGGATTAAAGGCAGTTTAGAAATACCTTGGTATCTGAGATGGTCTTACATAGTAGTTTAACTGACATCTGCCTCTGGAAATTAATGGTGTTCAAATTGAAGTAAAAGGAACAGCAAATCACAGTGGTGGAGTTGGAGGAAGAATATCTCTGAATATCAGAAAATACATCATTTTGTGTTTACTTTAATCCCTCAAGATTTATAACTGATTCCTTACATCCAGCCTCTCTACCGCAACTCCATTCTTCTCTTGCCTACCCATGATTCCCACTATTTTACCCAGTTCCCAGGTTCTTTCCTCATCCCCACTCCTTTTTTCTTCTCTCCCCTATACCTTCAGTTACCAACAACTTCCCTGCTCTCCTAAGTTTTCCAGCAAACCCAGGCACCATGTAGCATGACATATTACCAGTCAGTAGGCCAAATAGTACAGATCCTTACTTTTCACAGAATCATTAGTCTAGGCCTCCGTCCACTGCAGAGCTACTATTTTTTTTTCATGAACATGCAGGAACTGAGACCTCTCTTGCTTCTTCCCACTCTGAATTGGTAAAATGGTTAAAAACCTGAAAGACAAACCAATAGCATAATCACACGATACTTATTCTCTGGGGAAATGAAACTTAACATAAGAGACCTTCTTTGTGGTTGAGTCTGATGAGCATATCACACAGGTGTCATTTTTCTTTGTTTTATTATTTAACAGTTTGACATTGACAAGGAAGCAGGAGAGAGACAGATTTACCATCGGTACTGTATGGAACGGGCATCTGTACATTGTGCCCATGTGTTCACCACAGTCTCACAGATAACAGCTACAGAAGCAGAACATATGCTTAAAAGAAATCCTGGTAAGCCTTGAATTGTTTTCTTATTACATTTCCTCTGAGTACCTACTTTTCCTCAGATGGAATGAAAATAATAGAGACAGGTGTACAAACATGAAGAGCAGAGAATAACTAATTTTCAAAAGAAATTGCAGATAATATCACTTGACACACATTCTAGTAACATATGGAATCCAGAAGAAATCAAGTTCAGCACCACTTCATAACTACTTTTAGTACCGTTTCAGGAGAGTATTGGTTTAACACTATGGATGTTAGACTTTAGTTGCAAGGACATCTCAGCCTCGGGAGTTTTGTCCATAGCATGATTACCAGTGGTGGTAATGTATGCAGGTCAACTGACAAAAGCAGAAGCTGGAACCTTTTTAATATATTTCACCAGCTTTTACAGTGCAAGATTTGTTGCTTTGCTAGAGATGAGTGATATATTATTATGGAAATGTAGAAAAAAGTTTCATGTGCAAATCAGAGTGTAAGATGACTTTCCCTTTTGAGTGCTAATGCTGTTTTCCTTTACTTAATATTGAAAGAGATGAGGAGGCAAAAAACTAAACCATCAATCAATACAGTTCATTTCCCTGTATCTCCCACAGCCAAGACTAGCAGTACAGTTGTGGCCATCAAGATCTTAGGACCTACCCATGATAAGTTTCATAGATAGTTATAATATTTTCTGTTAAACCGTCCAGTACAGATGGAAAAATATAGTCAGGATGTATGCCCAACAGTTTGCTGTATTTTTCCCATTTATATCAGTCTTATAAAATATGACACTACCAGAAAACACTTGTCATGTTCAATGCATGAAATTTGAATAAGGACCTGATGCCAGTTTGATGTATCATTAAGTTCTCTTTAAATCAGTGCAGGGCTTTATAAGGACAAGCCACAATACTTCATCTGCAGGTAAGCATGACAGGGGAAATAACTGCACAACAATTATGAGACTATTTAGCAGATGTGTTCACATCTTAGGTGGTTATTTTAAGAATAGCAGTGCTCGAATTACCTTTTTTTTTTTTTGCTCATTCTTTGTAGGTTTTTTTTTTTAGGTGAATTGCAGTGATAATTATAGTTTTGGACCCTTATCCCTGTTAACTTCAGTGCTTCAAGCCGCATCATGGTCCATGCATCAGGGTAAAAGAGTTGCCCTTTGGATCCCTTGCTTCATTCCTGACTGTCAATAGGATGATGTACTTAGAAGATGTTTACTTTTTGTTTTAAACGTGACAGCCATGTCTTAAAAGTAATTTAAGTGTTCAATCATCTAATCTAGGATGTCCGTGAAAGGTCTTTTTCAACCAATTACAGAACACATGACGTCTTAAAATCAGACTTTTGAAGCTGTTTTATATTGGCATGAGGCTTCTCCCCACAACAGCTACTCTTGAAAATCATAGTTTATGTTTTGGGATTTTAGGAGGCTGAAGGGAGTCTGAATCCAGTTTAATTAGGGAGAGAAAATCTGCAGACTGCTCACAGATAGAACATCAGCTGAAGCTGAAGAGAATTCCATGCACAGAGAGTCACAGGCTTGAGCTTTTTTTTGATTATTCTTGCAACTCTGGAGAAACCATGTAAATATATTTAATATTTGGATAAAATAAATTGTTGAAATATATCATGCTTAATGTTGACAGAGGTAGAAATTCAATAGGAATTGGTACCTCAAATCCTAGAAGACAAATATGCTCTGATGGGCATAAGTACTTTAGTAGTTTCTTTGAATCTTAGACCACAAATAAACTGTGTAGGAGTCTATTCTCATACTATTTATTATTTCTGAAGTTGTGAAATCAACATAGACATTGGCTGTTCAGAAAGGTCAGCAATCCTTCAGTAGATCATTAAGCTTGAATTATGAAAAGAATGTGAATGCTGACTCTACCTTAGAAGATACTGGAAATCAATAGATTTTAATTTGAAGATGCTTTGGAATCTTTGAGGAGAGCAGACATAAAATTGTAAAGCATACTCTTCTGTGGCTATTTTTAGGACAAATCCAACAGATTATGGAGTGATGATCTTTTTAAAAAGGTTTCATACATTCTCCCTTTTCTGGTAAATCCTCAGAAGTCTTGACAGAACAGACCTCTCTTGTGCCATACAGTAAATAAGTACATAGTACAGCACAGTTTCTGCTTTTAGGAGCTTTCAATCTGTAGTGATAAAGCATGTAACAGTGATATCAATTATAAAGAGGTAAAGGACATATTGCACAAAATCCTTATGGCTAAATGGAGACATTACTTAAGTCTTGACAGGATAAAAAGGCACAGGGAGAGCTCACTGTTTAGCAGAGTCTATGCTAATGTGGTGTACAGGATAAAATAGTGCAAAGCAAGGTCCTCCATCTGGGTCAGGGCAATCCCAAGCATCAATATAGGCTGGGCAGTGATGGGCTTGAGAGTAGCCCTGAAGAAAAGGACTCGGGGGTCCTGGTGGACGAGAAGCTCAGCATGAGCCGTCAGTGCACACCTGCAGCCCAGAAAGCCAATCGTGTCCTGGGCTGTATCAAGAGGTGCGTGGCCAGCAGGTCGAGGGAGGTGATTCTCCCCCTCTACTCCACACTTGTGAGACCCCACCTGGAGTAACGCATCCAATTCTGGAGCCCACAGCACAAGAGAGATATGGACATGCTGGAGCATGTCCAGAGAAGGGCCACGAGGATGATGAGAGGGCTGGAACACCTCTCCTGTGAAGACAGACTGAGAGAGCTGGGGTTGTTCAGTCTGGAGAAAAGAAGGCTCCGAGGAGACCTTATTGTGGCCTTCACAGTATCTCAAGGGGGCCTACAAGAAAGCTGCTGAGGGGCTTTTTAGGATGTCGGGTAGTGGTAGGACTAGAGGGAATGGATTGAAGGTAGAGATGGATTGGTTCAGATTGGGCATTAGGAAGAAGTTCCTCACCATGAGGGTGGTGAGACACTGGCACAGGTTGCCTAGAGAGGGGGTGGAAGCCCCATCCCTGGAAGGCCAGATGGGGCTCTAGGCAACCTGGTCTAGTGGCAGATGCCCCTGCCCATGGTGGGGCAGTTGGAACTAGATGATCTTTAAGGTCCGTTCCAACCCTGACAATTCTATGATTCTATGAAAGTGGAGTGCTTCATGCAATGTCTTTGTGGAGTAAGCTGCTGGAGCCCATTGAGTTACACAGTGCTCTTCCCTATCCATCAGTAATAAGAGTACATAACCTGTTTGCATACTGACAAATGAAAGACACTTTGGTTCTTTCCTTAAGGATTTCTCTGACTCTGAAGATGTCTACCTCTGCCTTTTCTCTGCTTTTCCAGATGTTGTCACCCCAAATGGCTTGAACATTAAGAAATTTTCAGCAATGCATGAGTTTCAGAATTTGCATTCCATGTACAAGGCTAGGATCCAAGAGTTCATTCGAGGTCATTTCTATGGGTATGCTTTTACTTTTCAAAAATTAGCAACGTTGTCCAACGTTATTTAAAGCAAGAATCAAAATAGGAAGACTAACAAAAGGACGTGAAATGTTACCAGCTTATTCAATATCTGTCTGGGTGTTCTGAGTCAGAAGCTAAAGGAATTTTAGACACCGGTTCTAGCTCTGCTTAACAGATTGTGGGACTGATTTTTTTCATTGTTTGCTCAAGATGCAGTTTGTCAGATTAAGATAGTTAATTTAAAGAACAGCAGAAAAGCTTCACTTTCATTATATTCTTCGGATAATAAAATCCTCCAGAATAGAAAGTTGTTCTGTGTTTTGTTTGACTATATCTTGAGAAATGCTTTTGTGCTTGTCTGTTTGTTTGCTTGGTTTCAGCCACCTTGACTTCAGTCTTGAGAAGACCTTATTTTTCTTCATTGCTGGGAGATACGAGTTTTCCAATAAAGGAGCTGATATGTTCCTAGAAGCCTTATCAAGATTAAATTTTTTGCTGAGGGTAAGAATGTTTCTGCAAACATAGATAACATAGAGCTTATGTTCAAACTTACTTTACTATGGAAGTCACCTGCAAGAATTTCCATGCTATATTCTTGTTCCTAAGAGAATATTTATGGGATATTCAGAGATTTCATAAAGCTCTCTCCTTGAATCATCAGAGTATATAACGATCTCAGGTTGCTTACAAATAAATGA